AACAAGTCAAGTTCTTCACAGTTCCAGTCTACACAATCACCATCCTTCAATATATTTTTCTATTAGAATTTGTTGAAAATATCTTAGCTATGACATGTCCATCTATCTTTTCTTTTTTTAAATTCATTAAATGACTATTTCTTACTAATGTAACATCTACTTTGATATTTAGAGATTAACTAAAATGACAATTGTTTAGCAAAGCTCTTTATCATTAGGGGTTGAAATATAAATAGAAATTAATTCCTTGATAGAATGCTCTATTGACCAAAAGAAATATCCATATATATTCATATAATAATATATAACCCTCTCTCTATATTCGGTTTCTGAGGCCGTGTCCCCCCACTTGCTGCGGTCTCGCCTCCGCGGGGGCTTCCCGGCCCCCGGGGTGGAAGGAACTGCCCGGGGAAGTGGAGCGCCTGCCTCCTCGGCTGGCCGGGGCGGGGGTTGGCGGGGTGGCCCCTGGGGATATTCATTCTGTGTTTTTGTTTGCTGCATTTTTTCAGGCGTTGGCGGCCAGGTCCTCTCCGCGGGCGACAGGGGGGCGGGGCGGGGTTGCACGTCTCACCCAGAGACACGCACGCACACCACAGCTCCGGCCTGGGTGGTGGCAGGGCATGCACGAGGTGCTAGGTGAAGTCTCCAAAAAAGACATTTAAAAAAAAATAATAATAAGGCAGCTGAGATCTCGGCCCGAATCCAGATCCCGAATCCCGATCCGAGGACCGTAGCAGCAGCCGTGCTGGATGCTTTGAACGTGGAAGTCCGGGCTTCTCCATCCCTCACGCAGCAGAGCGATTCGCCTTCCGCCGAGGGCCCGTCTGTGACTGCTGACCTTGCGGTCGCCAGGGATGGAATGCTCCATACATGTCGTTGAGGATGATGCAGCTTTTCTCACCTCTGCCGATAGCTTCTCCATTTCTATCCTTCCTCAATGATTGACCTCAGTGCCATCGTAATACGTTTGGGACGCCTGAGCCTAATATGTATGTATGTTTCTCAGGTCCTCCTCCCGGTATGTCACCTGGCTCCCGACGAACCTCAATCCACCTCACCTCCACCTCCAGCCCCTCGGCCCTTCCTCTGGCCTCTTCAGCCCTCCTGTCTAGGCTGCCCTCTGAGATTTGTTCTTGCCGGCACACCAGGAGCCCTGGCTCCCTGATACACCACCATATGCCACTTGTCAGTTGTCCACCCAAGATCATCCCACTGCTTGCCTTCTCTGCTCCTGCTCACAGGGGGCTGCTGGAGTCACAGAACTGGGCCGGCGTCCCACTGCTTGCCTTCTCTGCTCCTGCTCACGGGGCTGCTGGAGTCACAGAACTGGGCCGGCGTCCCATGCTCCTTTTTGTCCACCACCCACCCCTCTGCCTTCCAGAAGTTCCTCTGACATTCAGTTTCTTCCTCCAAGGGACAGGCCACCCTGCTGCAGAAATCAGTGCATCTGCCACCCCTCTGTGATTCTGTAAATTTTCCCGGCCCCTGGACTCTGCCGTGAGCCAGCCTTTCCTGCTCTGGCCCATTTCTGCTGCCCTGCAGCAGCCAGGACACGTCAGGTAGGTGGGCGAGAGGAAGGATCACAGCGTGGGGGCGAGGATGCCCGACCCCCCTCTGGTACCCGAACAAAATATTTCTCCCACATTCATTATTACTCTTCTGTCAAAATCTAAGTCTACATTAAAATGTCACATTTCTCCTTATCAGCTCCGGTTCTTATGCAGTCATCCAACAGATTCTTTTCCAATGTCACAGATTAAATAAGATCAATTACATAGAGCATTTTACATGGTGCTTGGCCATTGATATAACACTTAATACACAGCAGCTGTCATGATTAGCTATTAATATTCCTGATTTACCAGTGAGTACTCTGTTCCACATCTGACGAGGTTCAAAGGAGAACTAATTACCTAGTAATTGGACATATTAAAAACAGTGTCTCTAGAAAGTGATACCCTTTTAAGATGACAAGAACCAGTGCTTGTTAGGAGCAGTAGACTATTTTGAGCAGAGCTAAAACATAAGCATCTGCTCTCCATTATTAATGAAAGTTGTGCTTTTTGAGTTTTTTATTAAGGACCCTCCCCTGAGCAGGCTGTGCTGTAAATATGTGTATAAATAAGGAACGTGCTACCGAGCTCAGAGATGCTGCTTCTGTGGGAACACGCCAAGTCAGAAGCCACGAGGCAGCGTCGCCCCAAACTGCCAGGCCAGAATTTTGATCGAGTGCCAGCTTCCCTCTGTCCCTCACGCTTGCTGCTTTCCCTAGATGCTCCGTCCAGCACCAGATTGCCTGTGGCCTCTCATGCCACGCTCCTAATGGAGGTCAGATGTAAGACGCCTGGGCGTTCGCCCTGAAGGAACCGTTTAATTGGAAGCCCAACAGGCCACAGTATGGTGGTGCGGGAGGAAAGGGTTCCAAGTCGCCTGCGTGGGTTTGTCACCCTTCCCTGGCAGTGTCACCTGGCACCTATGACCTCTTTCTGAGCCTGTTTCCTCATCTGTACAATAAGAATAATCCCTCACATTTGTATTGTCTTTTAATGGTAGAACGAGAAAAAACATTTCATGAAATGGTACCCAGACGTTACGCCTGAGGCTTCTGAGTGATGACGACGATGGTGATGGTCGTGACGGGCTGCTTCATCGTGGGCTGGGCTGGGCCACCTAAGAGGATGCTTTGGTAGGTTTTCTTACTCCTTTCGGTGAATTTCTTTATTACGAACCAAAGGAGATTTAAAATGCTAGAGTGCGTTTCACAGAGCATGCATCTCTCAAGATTCTCTATAAACAGAAGAATCTGTTTTCAAATACGTTTGGAGAACCTGGCAATCTCGGGGCACACGAGAGCTCGAACAGCTCTGAGAAGTCACGTGCCGCAGAGTGGATCACTCTGCGCCCCCCGCCCACCCCCGCATGCATGCTTATCACCAAAGGGTGCCCTGAGGGTCCAGGGAAAGGCACCAGGGGAGATGAGGGGCTCGGCAAGGCAGCAGTCTTAAGGGGAGCCTGGCAGTGGTGACCGAGGTGCTGAACCTCAATGAAGCACTGCCCAGGGGCCTGAGAACTTGAGGAGGGACCAAGGCGCCACAGGCAGGCGGGAAGGGTTCAGTCATTGTAATCTGGGCATTTAATGTGACCTTGTATTCAAAGGCCCCTGGGGCCAGGAAATATTGCAGTTATAAGAGGAAGAAAGACACGAAAGGTGTTTGGGCATCGGTCTCCCCATGGCCTGCACTGCGTTCCCTCCAAACGCATATGTTGAAGCCCCAGCCCTCAGTGTGACAGCGTTTGGAGGTGGGGCCCTCACGATGGGATCGGTGCCCTTACAAAGAGACGCGGGAGAGCTTGCCGAGTGAGGACTCAGTGAGGAGGAGTCTGTGACCCAGCCCCCAGAACTGCGCGGAAGGACAGCTGTGTGTTTACACCTCCCGGTCTATCGTATTTTGTTATTGGCAGCCTGAGTTGGCCAAGACAGTTTCTATTTCAAAACTTACGGAATGTTCATAAACCTTTGTAAGTAGGCATTTCTGTTATAGTTGTGTTCTGTTCTAAACCTTTTAAAATATATTTTACTTGTAAGTAATCGAAAGAGATAGAGACTTTTGCAAATTTTTCCCACTTAAAAGGCCCCATTTATACAACATCAAACATATTTTTCTGTTTTTCACTAACTTTTTAAAATCCCTTACCAATTATAAGTGATTGAAAATAGGACAGATCTCTTTCTAAATAACTGGCAAAGAGCTTGGTATTTGTGGTTAGTGTTGCCATTTAACAGGAGCGTGGGGTTTCCGTCTGGAGGCGTCCTTCCTGTCCCCTCCTTTATGAGCTACTCGTCAAGTGACAACAGAATGAAGAGGTGGTCGATCCCTGCCCCAGACCCCCACTGTAGAGAACTGGCCCACTGACCCTCCCACCGGTACATGAGACAAAGGAACCGAACCCAGGACGCCTCTCGTTAGGCCTCTACTGCATCTGCCCATCAGGCCCAATACCCAGAACTCAGTCACCGAAGTCTCCCTGTGCCAGCCTTGCAACCGCGAGCAAGCTTCCCAGGTGCCAGGCGCATCACCCACCCTTTCTGAGGCCCGCTCTGGGGAACATGGAGTCCTTCCTCAGATCTTAACAGGAGGTATTTGAAAAGAGAAGCTTCGTTAACAATTCTTTGGATTTTATCATCGTGAACTTAGATCCCCTTAAAACACGCACATGCGCACATGCGCACGCACACACACACACACACACCCCTTGCTTTAGAGTTAAGCACTAAGAGTTTTCTACACAAGGTGCCTATTATAGACTTTAAATAGTGTCCTTCTTGAACCGGACACTCTTAGGCCCACAGCACTAACCTGAGTGGACGCAGCGAGGAGCTTAGAGAAGGCTGAACAAGAGCCCATCACGTGTCGCGTCTGCCAGCATTTTCTGTCTGATTTTCCTTTGCAACAAGACCGACAGGTGAAGAAGCTGCAAGGCCGTCCAGGTAGTTCTCTAGGAGGAATGCTCACCTTGCTTCCTCCGTGTGTTTCTTCATGGAACCCACATTTTTTTCAGCGCAAGCCAGAGAGTAAGCGCAAGCCAGAGAGTAAGCGCAAGCCAGAGAGTAAGCGCACGTTAACAGATGCTGAGCGAAGAACGAGCCAGGCAGGATGAGACACTTCCGCGCAGTGTGTCAGGAGCAACTGCCGCCTGGATTTGCTCTGCTGGTATCTGCGGCATTCGTGGAGGTAGGAGAGGAAACAGGACAGGGCGTGGAGGCCCGTGCTGTGGCAGGGAGCAGATCCCCGAGGATGAGGGAACCGGGCAGGAGGGGCATGGTCCAGGGGAAATGAGGGGACCGTCAAACAGAAGACAACCTCGTCGGATTCGGAACAGAAGAGGGAGATTGTGAGCACCATCGCCTAGAGTTGAGGGGGTACAAACATAGTACACACACACAGGAGAAAAGTCCTAGAGGTCACTGAGAATCGGCCAGGAGTGAACCTGGATTAGGGCTGTGGTACAGAAAGGGAAAGAAAAAGGGCTAGGGGTTCTGGAAGAACCCCGAGCAGTACCTGACACGTCACCAAAGGGAGATACTACTGCCCGGCCAGGTAGAGCCGAGAATCATTCCCAGGTTGCTTCGCTTGCTCTACAACCGTGGTTCTCAGATTTTAGCACGCATCAGAGTTACCTGCAGGGCAAGGTGCTGCTGCTGCTGCTGCTGGTCCGAAGACCACATAAAAAGAACCACGGTTTGAGACAACCGTTTGTCCTCGCTCTAACGGAGGACAGGTGAGGAGAAGTCTTGGCTTCGAGTCTATCAAAAGATCGTGATGAGATACACGATATTTGGCTGTGCGTCTTTGAAGTCAGCCAGGATCTTTCAAATGATAAGGACTTTGTACTTTTCTAATTAATTCAGGATCTATGTCAAATTCATTATTTGGGCCATTTGAATTTGGGGATGGTTTTGGTGGTGGTGGTGATGGTTCCACATTGTGTTAAGAAAGGCACTGCCTCCTCGAGAAGCCTGGACTCTCAGAACAGATTTCCCGTGGGAAGGGTACACCACGAAGGAGAAAGGGAGCTATTGTTTTGTCAACGTCACATGAAATGTTCAGGCCTCTGAAACCTGAATAAATGAGCAAATAAAAGATAAAAGCATAAGACCATCCTTCAAGGCTACCAAGGCAAAATAATTAAACATTAGGTGAACGCCGCGGTGGTAATAATATAACTTAATAATACGCATTACTTATATAGACACACCGTGTTCCTCCAGGGCCTACTCCAAAGTTTTGTATTGAACTATGATTCATCCAAAAATATGTACGTATTCCAACCCCAGACCCTAGAACTACACTGTTTGGAGACCTGGCTCAGCCTTCAGCGAGCATCAGAATCACAGAGGGCATAAGAATGCAGGCTCTCGGGGCCCCCTGCAGGGTCTGGCTCTGTAAACCTCCCTGGCCTCAGGAGGCTGTATCAAACTAGCTCCCAGGAAATACAGCCGCGGTTCAGGACCAGACATTACGAACCTCTGGTTTAGACCTAGAGTTCGCAACTTGGCCACATATTAGAGTAGTCTGGGGCGCTTTTTCCTTTAAATCTCAATTCTTATAGCATACCTCAAAACGATGAAAATCGTCATCTCTGGGACCAGAACCCAGGCATCAGACTGTTTGTGAGTCTAATGTATAGCCAAGGTGGAGAATTTCCCGTTAGATGGGTAGCTGTCACACATGAGCATGCATCAGAATCCCCCGAGGAGTTTCTGACTTGGTAAGTCTGGGCCAGGCCCAAGAACGAGCATTTCGATCCACTCCCAGGTGATGCTGTCTGTCCTGGAATCACTCTCTGAGAACCATGGGTGAGACCGGCTCGAACCCCAGCTGAACTTAGCATCTACTGGCGGGTCTGGTATAAAATACTGAAATTAGCCTCCCCTGTCCCACAAAGTCCCAACAAAAACTGGGCACTCAGATTGAAATCGTCTGGGATGGCGTGTAGCGTAGGTGGAATCCTTGGGCAATTCTAAGGATTTGTAGCCAAGCCTGAGAATGACTGCCACACCAGCAAAGGTGGGGGCACCTCTCACGTTTGCTGCTCACCTGCGTGAATATGGCCTTTTGAAGCTACAGTATATCCCTGCTTTCATCATCATTGCAACATATATCTTTGCTTAAGTAAAATACCACATTGGAATAAATGGAAGGGCACGATAGTCATTTCTGAATTTGAGAAATAACTAGGTTAAGCCAAGAGGGGATTCTCCCCACTCCTTCATTGCTATAAATACCACTTACCGTCTGAATTTTTTAAAAAATGTAACATGGTAACCCACCCCTTTGGTGATCTGCAGCTAGTCATGTAAACAGAAACATTATACCTGTTATTATAAAAGCAGTTTCCTATAAATGAGAATTTATGCTTATATCTAAATAAACTTGAAACCTGATCAAACGCCCTGGCTCCAGGAAAATAACGCTGGGTTTGGACAACACAAAACCAGCGTAACGTTTTCCTGCCAGTTGAAGTTTTTGAATATACAGGGTCATTTTTAATCACATAGTAAGAGAATAACTCGTCTGTTACAGACAGTAGAAGCTGAGATTTAGGGATGGGGTGGGGTGCGGGTGGGGGAAGTAGCAGATGGAGTCAGCTCCTAACTGGAGCTTTTTTCGCCAGCTCTGTGGTATCAGTCAGATACATGTTTGTAAATAATTACTTTCCACTTCAGTTTTCATTGGAAATAGTAATGCTATTGTGTTTTAGCAGCTGATTTAGTAAGCTACCATTCATGACCTTTCTGAAATATACTATGCAAGGTCCAGTTCTCACACTCATAAAGGCTTTAGAAATTTAGCACTGGAAAAGCTGAGAAACCGCTTCACACCCACCACAGTGGCAATGACAAAAAAAGACAAACCATAGCAAGTGTTGGCAAAGATCTGCAGAAACTGAAACCCTGGTGCATTGCTGTCTGGGAACTTATGGCCAATTTGAAGCAGTTTGTCAGTTTGCTTGAAAGTTCAACATAAATTGACCACACAACCCAGCACTTTTCCTAGGTATTTCCCAAAGAGAAACGAAAACACGTTCACACAAAAACTTGCATGTGAAGGTGTATAGCAGCATCATTCGTAATGGCCACAAAGGTGGAAATGTCCATCAAAAGTCCATCGACCGATGAATGAATAAACGAAATGCGTTTATATTTATAGCTCATGTACTGGAACATGATTCAGCAATAAGAGGGAAGTACTGACTTACTATGGAACCTCGGAAACATGCTAAGTAAATCAAAGAAAGCGGTCACCAAAGATGACAGCACAGGATTCCATTTATAGCAAATGTTTATAAGAGGCAGGTCTACAGGAGACAGAAAGTAGCGTTATGATTGCTTAGAGCGGGGGGCTGAGGAAGGAAGAATGGGTGTGGGGGAGCGAAACCTAAAGTTTGCAGGATTAAGAGGATGTAAATGTTCTAAAATTGCCCCTGGCGATGGTGGCATTTATGTGTGAATATACTAAAAACGAACGCATCGTCCACTTTAAACGGGAAATTGCGTGGCACATCTCAATAAAGTTATCATACACGTAATGAAGCATCCCTTCCATCAATCTATCTGACATCACCTCGGACGAGACTCCGGGCGCATGCGCAGGGAGCTTCCCCGAGCCCGTGACCGTGAGCGGGGTGCAGAGCGGGGTGCAGAGCGGGAGCTCCTGGCCCTGGCCGCCTCGCCTGCTGTCGCAGCACTTCGCTGTCCCCTACCGCAGCCCCTGGCGCCGCACGCGGAGAGCGCGGGGCCCGCTCGTCGCGCAGAGACCGCAACGCGAGCACGTTCCCCGGGCGCCGCGGGCGCTCGGCGCAGACGTCCCGCGGGGGCGGGTCCCCAAGCTGTCGCCAGGAGGCTATCTGATGACTGTCTCTCTTCCCTCTCTTCCCTCCCGTGTGACCTGGCAAGGGCCGAGGCGCCCTAACCACGCTTCCCCCCATTGTGTGAGGGCCGCTCACAGAGGGCGGAGGACGGCCGGACCCCCTGCCGGGACGCGGGCCGGGGGGCCCAGGCGCCCCGG